GTATAATTTTTATAGTTTTAAAATATTAATTTATTAATAATACTATTTCAAGTCAACTTGAGTCAAGTCGAGTTTGAGTCAAGTTTAAATCGAGTCGAGTTAAATATTTAACTCAACTCGAATTTGATTTGACTCACAAATCATCGAGTCAAAAAATATAAATTTGACTTGATTTAAACTCGACTTGGCTTATCTGACTTGTGAGTTAACTCAACTCGTCCAGAATTTTACATAATATTACAATTTGAGTGGTCAGTTCATATTTCCATTAAAGTCTTGCATTTGTGAAGCATTTCAATCAAACATTCTTAAAGATTCTATACAAGATCTAATATGCTATTGAATCAATATCTTCTGATACTAAACTAATAAGAGCATGGGTTAGATTTCTATCAGTAGTTATTAATTATTTAAATAATTATTCTATGTATCTTATTTGAGAACCAGAATCAGAAAAATGAGGACTTAAACTTATAAAAGCAATTGCTTTAGAACAAGTTGAATTTAGACTATCTACAAAATATAAGCGTTCAGTTGGAAAGGATGAAATACCGTTAAAGAAAGGTAATACTGTCCGCTACTTACTTGTTAATACAGAATAGAAAGGAAGTATGAAAAATCAAAGGCAAGCAACTGATTTCACCTTTAGTCCAAGTCTTTATAAAATCTGAAAAGTGGTTGTCATAAAGAATAAATCAGCTTTATATTATCTCGAAGGTGATGAATTTACACCAAAGTGAAAGTTTGTACGAGAAGAATTTATGTTAATAGTTGATCTAGAAAAAGTTGGGTATCTGCCTTAAAGCATATTATCTGTACATATTACCTATAGTTCTCAAAGGGAACTAGAGGGTCTGACGAAGAACTGGGATCAAGCTATTGATTATACTAGAAGACGTGATGGTTAATGCCTAGGAAGAATTGGTTGAATAAATGAACATGATATCTATTTCTAGTCTTGCAAAAATGGTATATACCAGTGGAAATATTCACTAAAATATATCATGAAAAAATTTGAGTGGTGCTCGCTATGTCATCATATTATCAAAAGAAATGTTTGATATATTTTTGAGAATCTATTAGGTAAGAAATTTCCTTTTTGCAGACCATCATTTTTGGATGAGATGCAACTTGATGGATATAATGAAGAATTACATCTTGTATTTGAATACCATAGTCCCTAACACTATCATCATAATAGTTTATACTATTGAGAAAGTGAAAGTTTAGAAACTCAGAGAATGCATGATTAGAAGAAATAGGATATTTGCAAGAAGCAAAATGTATGCCTTATCGAAGTGCCTCATACAGTAGATTTATATCTATTTATTAGATATATACTAATCGAGAAAGGATTCTTAGATAAAGTGAAGGAATAAAAAGGAAAGACCAATAAATCAGTCTGATAATTTTTTAGTATATTATTATTAATAGTTAGTTTACCATGAAAATAAAAAAATTTGAGTCAGTTGATAAGCTTGTATACTATATTAATGAGATTAAGAATGCCAAAAAATATAATAGACATTCAAGTATCCTTCAGTAGCCTTTTACTTTATTAATCTATGATCATACTAATTCAGAGAAGACTAATGAGATTTTCAATCTCATGTTTGAAAATAAGTTTTATCAAATGTTTTATAGAAAGAAAAGAGGGATACATTATATTAAGAATGATAATTTATTATTAATTGGTCATAATCTTAAGGAGCTGAAATATATGTATCTTAAATCAGCATATCAGATAATTGCAAATAGTCCAAAGCTCTATTGTGAAAATATTACTCTGAAGTCTGATAAAATCCCTAAAGTGGATTTGTTTTCTCAAGACAAGGATACAGTATCCATATTCGAAAATGTATGTGCTGACCTAAAAAAAGTGCAGAAGAAGATCATTTCTTATTTTATTGAGAGTGATATTATAACATTAGTTTGATATATGTATTTTAGAGTTACTTTGACTATCCAAAAATAATACAAAAAAATCTCACATATATTTACCTATTTAACAGGTCATGTATTACAAATGAGCTAGTCAGAATTGTGCGTCAATATGCTAATGACTGGCGTAGTGTGATTAAAATAATTGACAAGCATTTATATGAGCAAAAATTCATTATTTTTAATCTAACTATACCTCGCGAGCATCCACACAGGATACGCATCAGCTAAGATATACTTCTCATTAATGAATAGAATTTGACTTTATAGATACCCGCTCTTTTTCTGTTTTTTCTACTTGCATCTTCAGATTATTAATTTCGCATCATAATTTTTTATTTGCATTAATCTGCTCTCTATATTCCTTTTCTATATCTAGTATAAATTTCTCAAAAGTTCGTCTATTATAATCGAGCAGGTACTGAGATAGCACTTTAAGCTTATTTATCACTTGACGATTATTCTCTTCTTCATGATTACAAATGATATTATCAGTTTAAGACTCATTATTTGATATTTTTTTGAATGATATTGAGCACTCTGGTCAACTTTGAGTTCGTTTCTAACACATTAATCTTTTCTGATATCTAATAGCTTCATGTTTTAAAAATGACTTTACAATTGAATTAATTTCACTGGCCTCTTTCTCAGATAATGGGTTACGTTTCTGTGATTTGAGACAAATTCATGCCTCATTTATTAGAAAAGCTGGTAATTTTGCTAGTAAGTCAGAATATGCCTGGTTAAATACCATTATATATTTATACATTGCGCAAAAAAATATGGAATTTTATAGAATTTTAAAAATAATATTACATTAGTAGTATCCTACTGCATTAGAACTTTTATTAACAGCTAAGATTTTACGCGTCAATATCATGATATATCTGAAATCTACTATGTAACTCTGATCAAATTATGTGCGTATTATAATTTGTAATACTAATCACTTTATTAAAAAAAAATCTGTAAAATAGCAAAGCAATGAATTCAATTGATATAACTTTTTTTATTGATCTGATGTAAAAACATCCTGTCAGACATAAAGCATATGCATATTAATATCACATTTTTATTATCAAAGATTTATTATTCACGCCCTCACATCACATCTGCACACAAAATATACAAGACTATGTGAGTAAACTATGATTACATGAGCTAAATAATATAAGATTTTTTTTGCAAATTGCTTGGTAAACAGAAAAAAAATATACTAGAAACGCTTATAGTAAAATGAATAAATTCTGTGACAATCACGTGTCCTTTTCATAAGATTATTAAATTGGGGTGTATCAAGGGTATCACGTTTGAACATTGTCTTTACTGATGGTAAATTTGGATTGCAAAGCTTATCATACAAAATATTAAAGAATTTTTTGAAAATTTCTCGTATACTCAGAAGTATTTTAATTTGATCAATGAAGAATAGCATTTCTTTTAATGATGCTAGAACTGAAACTTAGCCAATGTGAACTATAACATAAATTCCTTTAGCAAGATCGATCATATAAAAATTGATTGTATAATCAATAATGAAATGCCAAAAAGGGTTAAAAGAAATTTCATATGTGAAAAACACTTTATATTATTTTGCTTACCAACATATTGAAAGCTGATTATATTAATATTTGTATCTTTCTCTATTGCAAAGTCCATATAGTCTTTCATAAAGACACCAAGTCAGATTAGGTCACAACAGTTTTTATATACATTGGTTTTTTGTGATAGAGGATTAACTTCTCCTATGAAAATATTAGTGACTGTTTGAAATTGGTGAATAATCGAGACTACAAAATCAGGTTGCTTAGTTCATCCCCTAAACTTTCTTGCCTTACTTTCATTCAAAGCTGTGTTTAACCACTAGATAATGTGTTTATCAGCATCATGAAATGTACCTTTCATTATATAGTCTAAATAATTTGTGATAAGTGTGATCTCGCTAGATTCATTTCTAAGCTTATCACTAGGCAACATTTTCAAACCTTTCAATATCACAGAACCTAAGTTTTCATCCAAAATTTCATCATTTGAAAGCTCTGTTAATAACAATTTTATGGCTTTGTGACGTGACTCCCTAGTCACTTGCTTAATTACTTTTCTAAATTTTGACTCACACTCTGAACTTAGTTCTATTTGTTATGCTGAAGCGATTTGTTAGTGAACTTCATTGAGTAAAGAGAACTAAATATATTAATTATCATATTTGAATGAGAACCTGAGGCAAGCAAAAAAATCAAAGATAGTAACAATATTTCATATACATTTGATTCAATAAATAGATTTTCAGTCTTTGCAATCTTTACTGATTCATTTTAATATTTCTGGAATAACTGAGAAACATTGGTATCTTCTATCTTAAGATCATTTTCTGGATCCCCATCCTTAAAGCAAAATTCATTTACATCATTAATTATTATGATACATCCTCGTCCTCATCTTTGTCTTCAGAGTTATCCATTGGCAATGGATGTAATGTTAAACTGCCTGAGAAAGGTGCAGTATATCCATATTGCTTCTTTGATAAATATCCTTCGTTGTAATTAATATTTTCTCTTTCTCTTAAATTATATGGTCTATTATCTACAACTGATTCATTCTAGATAATATACGAATAAATTAGTATCTCAAAACTGTGTAATAATAGAATAATATTTGTGCTTTTTTACCTTATTAACATCCTCTGCTTCTTTTTCTTATTCATTAATTCTGGATTTTTTTGTTTCATTCCTTTTTAAAAAATTTAACTGAGACTTATAAATCATTTTTGAAGTATCGTTTAAATGTTCATTTTCTATTTGCAAAAAATTCACAATACCTTTAGCCTGAAAATTTATTAGAATTCATTATTTGCTTCAAACCTATGATCCTAAAAGTTTAACTACGCGTTACCTTGACTATTTTTCATTTTTTATCTAATGTATTGAGTTTTTGGTCGAACTTTTTGTTTTCCTAGAAATCTTTCACTTCCTCTGACGTTTTCTCATTCTTGTCAAAAAAATCAATTGTAAAATATTATGTTTTGATACTTAATACTAACGAAGTTCATCTCTAAACTTAACCCTAACTAACTCTAACTTTAATCTAATAAATATGGTGTATCTATAGCGGAGCTGAAGCCTTTCATATATGTAGCTGAAGCTAGTATACTAGCTAGTAGAGTACCATTGCATTCTCAACGGAGCTGAAGTCTTCATATACATAGCTGAAGCCAGTATACTAATTGAGAATATGATACAACGCTCACGTATTAGAATCCTGTAGGCTAAAGCTATTGGGTAACAAAATGAACGTCTATACTATAAACTATAATAAAAGCTAACTTACTGCAAAACTTTTCTAAAGCTTCTTCGACCGTTTTATATTGTTCATCTATTTCTTTATAACTTTTTTTTATTTTAGTAATTTTTGAAACGTATTTACTTTGAATCTTATCTTTTTAGAGTAAATCTTTTGTTGTTTGTTAGAGGTAAATTAAATATATGAATAACAATAACTTCAAAATCGAACTCCAATATGCTGTAATTTTAACGAATATAATGAGAATAATGATTCTTTAGATAAGTGATACACCAACATTTATCTGGTTCTTTTAGTTTTCACAAATATTTTCATTAATTTCATTTTGAGAGTAAGGGTAATTTGTGTTAGTTTTACATTTTTATTTTATAGTTATATCTATTTAACTTTATTTATATACACATTTTTAAAATATGTATTATTTTATTTTATTTAAATTTATTAATAAAACAAAAAATAAAAAAATTTTACAAAATTATTTTTATTTATTAAAAAACTTATATATTTATTATTTTAAATTATATATTTTATATATATAGCATAACTTCATATTTTAGAAATGGAAGAATATATTAAAAGATTTTATTTTTTATTTATAAAATTATAAATTAAAAATATTCTAATTCTAATGTTAAAATGATAAAAGTAAAAATATTGTAAAGGGATAAAGCAAGATTTTTTAAGATATATATATATAAATTTAAGAGAATAAGCATAATATTGTTATAAGAAGATATTAATCTAAAAGATCATGTGATACATGTGACCAGAAGTCACATGGGCTGCGTCACGTTAGACAACGAAGACGGCGAAGATGAAAGAAATAAATTAAACAAAGGTTACGTGAGAGACCCAGAAAGCGCCGAAAAATTCTGTTATATTATTAATTATTTTATATTATTAATCATTATT